CAAACTTCATTTTCACAATGTCAAGTTATTACAAACTTCATTTTCACAATGTCAAGCTATTACAAACTTCATTTTCACAATGTCAAGCTATTACAAACTTCATCTTCACAATGTCAAGCTATTACAAACTTCATCTTCACAATGTCAAGCTATTACAAACTTCATCTTCACAACGTCAAGCTATTACAAACTTCATTTTCACAATGTCAAGCTATTACAAACTTCATTTTCACAATGTCAAGCTATTACAAACTTCATCTTCACAATGTCAAGCTATTACAAACTTCATCTTCACAATGTCAAGCTATTACAAACTTCATCTTCACAACGTCAAGCTATTGCAAACTTCATTTTCACAATGTCAAGCTATTACAAACTTCATCTTCACAATGTCAAGGTATTACAAACTTCATCTTCACAATGTCAAGCTATTACAAACTTCATCTTCACGATGTCAAGCTATGTTAAACTTCATCTTCACAATGTCAAGCTATTACAAACTTCATTTTCACAATGTCAAGCTATTACAAACTTCATTTTCACAATGTCAAGCTATTACAAACTTCATCTTCACAATGTCAAGCTATTACAAACTTCATCTTCACAATGTCAAGCTATTACAAACTTCATCTTCACAATGTCCAGCTATTACAAACTTCATCTTCACAATGTCAAGCTATTACAAACTTCATCTTCACAATGTCAAGCTATTACAAACTTTATCTTCACAATGTCAAGATATTACAAACTTCATCTTCACAATGTCAAGCTATTACAAACTTCATCTTCACAATGTGAGTTCGCCGTTATCGGCCAATAAAATACCATTGACTGCCCGCAGCATAAAACAAACAATTGTAACATTGGTACTAAACTAAACTGCTCTTAGTAATGTACAAATAAAAAACCCAATAATTTGATTGATGTAATAATATAAAAGAGTTGTTATAATTATAAATTCCATTATGTTTTATTTTGAATACAGCCATTATGTTTTAGTTTGAATACAATGGTTTGAAACGAGATGTATTTACACAAACAATTGTAATTTTGATGCTACATTACACATTTGATAGCATATTTTAACAACTATCATTAATTACTGCAGATAATAAATACCAGCTCACTAGTCGAGTCAAGCTACTGTGATTATTGTACACATCAAACCAATATTAAAAGGGACAGATTCGCCATTTGTTAAAACAATCGTACCTCGTATAGTGTTCACAGCTCACCGTCAAAATTTAAGGCCTTCGTATCCATGTGTGTTTAGAATTATCAGCTCACAAAATATATTAGAAAATTAGAAAATGACTAACAATATGGAGGTAACTGGTAAATCTTACTGATAGAAACAAAGGCTATTATCTCCCCTTGCATGATACAATGATTGTGGTCTTGGTGGACTTTATGGTCCAATATAGATC